TCTCTTTTTACTTTTTCATCATTTCAAACTACACTTTTTCAAACATGTCCTTCAAATCCTTCAATTTAATAGCTAATAGTTAGTAAGAAGTTTCACTTCAAATATGCGCACATAGTGCAAACACAGTTTTTTTCCCGTTTATATAATTTGCATATTTTCCGTTTTTCATTTTTGCTTCCCGGAAGTAGGGGGTATTTTTTGTAATTTCCTTATTTCCGCAAACGTCAGCTGATTTTGTTAGATAGAAAAATATGTTTACTATGAAAATGAAATGTAATCTTTCAGTGGCAATATTTTTACAACTTTTTACCCTTAATACGAAATATATTAATCAAGAATTAAATACATAAATAGTTACCGGTATTTCTTTTTTTCTGTTTCTACATTTTTTTGCAAAATATAAGTTTGTTCTTTAGTGCTGAACTTTCTACATTAGTGTATATTTCGACTCAGTGTTGCCAACTATCCTAAATAAAATTTCCCACGGAGAGAAATTTCACGTTTTTTTTTCCAAAAGAAAATTTTCAAGTGAGCTTCATTCCTTCCTATACGAGTATATTAACTGTGAAAAAAAATTCTTCACGGATAGCACAATAATCAAAATAATTCAATTTTGCATTTTTGGGTTTTCAAAGTAATATAAAGTATCGTTGATCATTATAAAAGGTTCAATTTACTCAATTTGCTGAATACGATAACTATTTTTTACGAATAATATATTAACTTTAGAATCTCCCACGAATATCCATGGTGTTTTGGGTTAAAATTTCCCTTTTCCCTTTTCCCTCTCGGGAAATTTCCCACTGTGAATTAGCATCACTGTTTCGACTGAATGTTATTTTTTGCGATTTGGCGTAACCTAAACTTATTTTGTGGCTCGTAGCTGTAGATGATATCATTGACTTATTAAGGTTAACTTTTTCTAAAAAATTATCAACTCACTTAGATTTTTTTCTGATTTACCCAGTGAACATAATTTTGTTATGCAGCTTATGATCCTGTTACCAGCAGCTGTATGCAGCTTATGTTCTTCCTTACCTTACTGGGCCTAGAAATTTACTGTTCCTGTGTGTTTCTGTTAGCTTTTTGTTTCGAAGGTTTTATAGCATAGTATGGTATTATTTTTGGGGTAATTCCAAGGGGATGGAAAGGATATTTCGAGTACCAAAACATGCTTATGGAGTATCTTCGGATTGAATCAACAGAAAACCTGCAGGGAGATTTTTCTTAACGTGCTTACAGTTGCTTTGATATTTTGGATGCTGTGATGTTGGATTTTAATCTTGTAATTGCTTGATTGTTTTTGCAATTACAGATTGCTTTTTTGCATTTGCACTCATTTTTTTCTCTCATCACAATAATAAACGAAGTTGGATATAAGAAGTATAAATCTCTCTCTTTGCTTTCAACCTTCTAAGTAAAATACTCTCTGAATTTGAAGTAAATTCAGAGTGAATCAAAAAGAGAATTAGTGAATGTATTCTAGATTTTAATTTAAACTTTAATCTTGTCTATTCAATTTTTTTATTTTAGATAGCAAAGTGAGAATTGATCACAATCGAGGAAATTTCTGATCTTCCAGGTTTTGCCATGGAGCATGGTATTAACAACAGTTGTCATTCGTCCTTACAATGGGGATATTTTTAAAAATGTATTTACATTTAGATTATTTTTGTATGTATATATATAGGCATTTCTTTATTAAATTATTTTAAATTTGAATTTTAGTATACATTTTTAATTCCATCCCATATTTAATTGCTGAAAACTGCTGTAATGTATTTTTATAGACATTAATTCGTACACCGTGTGTATTTCTGTCACTTAAGTTCTTGACAGTGCATTGACAAATTTTGAGTTATTAGAAGTTGTCAAACTTTAAAATGACAATATACAGGGTGGTCCGAACTGTATTCCGGAAACTTCGGCAGCATATTCTGCAGATAAAAATAAGTAATTTTTTTTATAAATGTATGTCCTAAAATGGGGGCTTAGTTTGGGAGATACAGGGTGTAGAAGTTTCATTTTTATTTTGATTTTTTCTAAATAATTTCTTTTCGCCCGTACCTGTATAAAACTACTGAGTTAAAAAGTATACATTTACAATATTTTTTACGTAAAAATGTGTCTTGATAAAAATCGCTACCAATAATGGTTCCCGAGATATTTGGAATCGAAATTATCAATACCTGTCATCATTGACATAAATTAAACATGTTGACTAAATAGTTATTAGTCTAAAATCATAAATATGAAATGTTTTTGTACCAAAAGTTCAACAGGAACTGTTTTATTATCATTTTTTTTTCATTTTTTCATTTCTAAAGTCCCAAATTTTGAACCCAGTACTAAAGAATAGCTTTAATTTAATATTAATTATATTTTATTCGCATACTTCGTCATTGTGGTCGTTGGTTTTTTATATAAACATTTATGCATCCGGTACAATGTTGTTTTGTAACTTTGTAACTGAGGGGGAGATAAGATATCTATTTATCGTACTTTGGTATTTTATTCAATTCGCAGTTCGCAGTTAAGTCGGCAGCGTAATGTATATTGTTTAAAACTCCTCTAACGTCGCAAAAATATTCAAAAGTAACCTAAATTATCAACTCAACTTGTGTTTTGTGTAAAAGTTTTTAAACATGAGCGAAGACAGTTCTACAGGTAGTGACAGTGATACTGGCAATGAAAATAACAGAACAGCGATGGCACTGTTTACAGCCATTTATAAAAACGATTGTGACGAAATCCGAAAACTTGTCTCAAAAAATCGGTCAGTGGTGAATTTTAATATGAACGGTACTACCCCTCTACATGCCATTTTGAAACAAACGATTAAGGCCAAAGGATCTAAAAAGCCTTTAATGGAAGCTATAAAGGAGTTACTGAAAAGCGGTGCCAATCAGGAAGCAAAAAATGAAAAAGGTGAATCGGCTGTAGACGTAGTAACAAAACGATTAAAGAAATATCCAGATGATTCAGACTGGAAATCAATAAATAGTCTTTTTGATAGATCTAACGAAAAAACTCAATTATCTTCAAAAACAGTACAAGCTGATGATAAAAGATCGGCCAATAGAATGTTAACATTGGCTCAGACACAGTCAGGTGCTCCAACTACATCAAAAACGAGACCATCTGGCGAAACTTATGCAGTCTCAGGCTTAAAAACTTCTCTGCACGGTACCATCTATCAATTACAGCTTCTCATGTCACTTCTCAATCGCGGCTTGAATAAATACGACTACTTTGATTTGGCGACGGAAATGAACAAAGCAGAAAAATTTGACGACGCAGTAATTCGGTACAAGACCTCTCGAAATGACCAGTGGTCTTGGCGATTTTTTCAAGCCAAACACAAACTGGACGTCCAGTGAGATAGGATAACGGTTAACGATTTATTAGCCGAATCAGACGGCCCTTTTAGCATTCAAAAGTACTTCGTTTCTTTCTGTAAAATCAAGAGCAGCGTCATGTTTGACCAATCGAACTTGGAAGAGTTTGATCTTTGCACAAATACCGATTTTGATTTTTCGGAATATAAAAACCAGAAAAACGATGGAAATTTAACTACCGCCGCACAGCAAAAGAACGATGTGGTAAATTTGTGGAAAAACTTATTAGAGCTGGAGAATTTAGAAAGCGATTTATTTTTATCATTTCCCAACATAACGAATGCTAAAAAATATAAATTCAGTGATAACGCTATACCATCGTTGTCTAAACTTTTAAACTCAACTTTCTTAAAAAAATCATTAGAATTGGAAAAAGTCAAAGAATTGAAGTCAGTGATGGAGAAACTACAAGCGACACAAGTAATTGGAGATTTAAAGGAAATATTACAAGAAATAAAGGGCAATGTTCTTGAATTAGAAGGTTCATTAAATAACAATAAGAGCGAAAAAGGTAAATATATTTCACTTGCTAACAAAGTATTAAATGTGAAAAATAAATTTATGAATAGCAGTAGATACGACTATTTAAAAAAAATAATTGTAAAATTTAAAAGAATTGATGTAAAAGATCAAAATTATTTTCCCGAAAGACTCAAAGTTTTTGGTGCTTCAAGAGACCTCTTTAATGAAAATTTCAGTTTTGTATTAGAGGCTGAAAAGAAACTTTTATGTTTTGATAATACTTTATCATCGGAACATCAAGCACTAGAAAATGATATATGTGCGATAAAAGATAAGAAAGAACAGTATATTTATTTCAGTGATCAAATAGTAAAGTCTAAAGATCTTTGTATCCTAAAAAGCAGCTTATATCAATTTTCCTATTTTCAGCAGAAATTTGATAATTTTGAGAAAAAAGGTTTGGGTTTGGATAGCGTCAAAGAAAAATTGTTGGATAATTTAGAAAATGATATTTCTGATCTTGTTATGTTGGAACTATTATTAAATAATGCCACACAAGAAGAATTCTTGAGAGAATTTTTGCAAAAATTTAGACTGGTAGTTTGTTACCCGGATGTAGATAGGCTAAATATTCTTATAAAGAGAGAAATGAGAAATAAGTATTCTTTTATAAATACTGATTTGATAACAGATTCTTTTCAGAAAGAGATGCTCGATTGGTTCAAGGATTATAAGGAAGGTCGAAGTGAATATTTATCTAAAAACAGAGGTGTCGAATTTTTCCAATTCATTAATCGGAAAATCAACTCCTTAATGGTTTCAGGGTTAAACAAGGTTTATCCAGGAAAGTTAAAAGAATTCAATATTTCATTTGAACATTCAATATTGACCGATTTTTTATCATCTGAAAACAAATTCGTGCATTTATCGACTAAATGCACTAGACTAAGTGCCATTAAAGTCTTACAAGGCATAACCGAATCAGGATTATATAATGAACATGACAGTTTCATATTTATTCCTTTGGAAACTCTAATCAGATCAGAAACTCGAAACCTAGTCATTGATTCTTTTGACGCAATTGAATCGCAGATCCTCTTTGTTCATCGACTGCCAATCTAATACTAATAGCAATTTTGATTTATCCTATTTAGAAGAGTTTATTGCTAATGTGCATACCATATTAGTAAACAACAAGGAAAAAAAGTTGATTTTAATAGGAAGCGAATCTGATCAGTTAGCAGACGAGTTTAAAAGTTTGAATATTTATGGAACTGAAATGCTGCAGGACGAGTCATCTTTTGATTGTTTAAGCCACGAATCTCAACGTGAACTATTAAAACAACCCGTTAGCTTTCAAGGAAAAAAGATGGCGATTAATCAACTGATCGGTTTAGAATGTGCTAGGAAAATTATTAATGAAACACGTTTAGATGATCTTATTAATGGGAAAGTGATTAGTGTGGGAGATGAAAAGGCTTTCAAGTTTGTGGATTGTGCTTTTGACTATTATGTGCCACGATCGTTGCATATGCAGAAGCTTAAAAAAAGTGTATTTGACATAAAAGAATGTCTTTTCTTTCTTACTTGCGATAGTAATAGTAGTATATACCCTTTTATCGAAAATATTCCCGCATACGAATGGATCGAAGGAACTATTTATTCTTGTGGAATCATATATACAAAACAAAGCGATGACCCTATTCAAATTTTTGATAAACTTTGTACTAGCCATCCACAATTGACAGTTCACTGGATACATCAAATTCAAAATGATTTATTTTGGAAAATGTCGACAGATGATTTTTATGAAATGCAAAAGTGTGTACAATTGGGATATGACCTAACTGACGACCAATTATTTACAGAAGAAATTTTTGTTAAGGAATTTTTAAGTACAGTTGTGGTAATTGCCAACGACCCCGGAACAGGAAAATCTACACTTTTAACAAGTATCGGTAACAGTCTGAAAACGAATCATAATAAGTGGTGGATTGCGAGAATTAACTTAAACGATTACGCATTTGAGAACGAATTACTACGTTCTGACGATCTCAGAAAATACACGAGAAATTTAAATGAAATCCATGAAAATATCAATACTCAAGAAGCCATTGATATTATATCTGAAATGATAATTCCTCGAAGTCCTTTAATATCAAATAGTGATTTTCAAAGAGATATTTTTAAGGAAGGTCTTCGAAATGGTAACGCGGAACAAATTACTCCAAAAATTGTAATTCTTTTTGATGGTTTTGATGAAATCAGTCCTCACTATAAAGAAAAAACTGCAAAGCTTATCACAGAAATTAGCAAGACAAATATTCAAAACATTTGGATTACGACTAGAATGAACGAAAAGGATTTTCTTGAACGAGCATTTTCTGCGCCGGCGTTTATGTTAAGTCCGCTTAACGAACTGCAGCAAATTAATTTATTGATGGATTTTTGGAAACTGGAAATTAAACATAAATTCGAAGAGGCTCGTGTTAAAAACACAATTGAAACAGAAATAGAAAAATACGTAACTATAATTCAAAAGAAATTATTATACAATGAACATCATGGAGATTCGTTAATTTCCATTCAGTGTGCAGATGATATATTTACTGTTTTCAACTTTATGCAGTTTGCACGTCAACTAGTGGAACAATGGAAAGTTTCACTTAAGGAATATTATATATATAGTAGAGACACAGCATTTACAAATAATCCTCTTCAACTAAGAATGTTGGCTGAAATAGTATTTAATGGGGATTTTGAATTAATCGGAAATATAAGTTTACTGGAACTATTCGACAAGTTTGTTAAAAAAAAGTTTGATGTATTTTACGATCAAAAGAGCGATTTGGGAGTATCCGTAGGCTCGATTGATATTCGTCAAGATCATCGTCCATATCTTCGAGAAAAGCATCGTTTAATTGCTTTACAACAAATATTACCGCACTATTTTAGACACAATAAAAACTTAAATTTCGAGGTAGACATTTCTACATTAGCTCGAGTTGGACTGTTAGTGAAGAACGAGGCAAGATTAATTTTCGTACATCGAAGTTTTGCAGAATATTTTGTGAGTGATTATTTAATCCATAATTTGAATATGATCGAAGTCCAAAAAATTTTGTTCGAGTATGTATTTGGCCACATAGAGTGTTTGCTCGTTTCCTTATTCCTCGATCAATGGTTTGGAAAAGAAAGGCATGAAATGATATTGCAGGAACTAGTATTTACATACAGTTATAAATTAATGTCCGTGCAAAATACGGAAATTTTTATACTAAATACATTATTAATGGCACTTAATCATTTAGCAGTACATAAATTCATTAATACCCTCAAATTTATTTTGAGGGTATTATGTCGATATCCAGCATTGTTAGGTCTCCTTTTAAACTTGGGGAAATATGAAGATTTTTTATTGTTCGAATTGGTTTTTGAACCAGTTTTAAGATATAAATCTTCAGAAAGGTCTAACATATTAAATGACATCTTGATGACTATTATTGATCAAGATGATCTTCTGCTGAAACTCTATACAACAAAATATTTGGATGGATTTATTCTTTTTGATAAAAGAATACAAGCTGATATGACTATTTTACAAGTTGCTTTACTGACTGATTCCGAAGACAATATATTTCGGCTGTTAATGAATTTTGTACGTTCTAAAATTCCCATTCTTCGAAAGATTCTTTTTCAAAATGGGATAAACGAACTAGAGACTTTATTACATTTTTGTTGTACGTATGCTTCCAGAAAACTAGAGTTAATTTTTGATTGTTTAAATTTGTCTGAAACTGTTCAAGGTACCCCGTATTTTGGTTTATTGAGTGATCTTATTTTGGCGAAGGATGCACTAGGAAGCACGGCATTGCATTGGCTGGCATATAGAGAATGTTCAGACGGTATTCCGTTTTTTCTCGCCAGCATAAGCAACTTTTCAGAGGAGGTTTTGACAGAGTTACTGCTGTCTCGGGATAAGCAGAAGTTAAGTGTTCTAGATATAGCAGTGTACAGAAACTACCCCGAAACTATAACTGTATTGCTCGATTTTTTACAGAATCGGAGAGAATTTAATGCATTGGTTTTTCAAAATGGCCTGGAAAATAATATCTTATATAAATCGATACGCCAAGATAAGACTACTAGTATGCTAGCATTGCTTGACTGGTTTGAATCAACCTGTCTTGATTCCCATGATATTTTTGTAACGGAGTTGTTATTAGAAAAACATCCCCTTGATGATAGAACGTCTATCAGTTTAGCCGCGGCTAGAAATTCTGGTTCAACTTTGTCCAGCTTACTGGAATGGATAAGTAAAATTAATGACGATCGCTATACAAAGGAATTCATACTTCAGCTGTTATTATCTCCAGATCATGACGGAAAAACTGCTTTGCATGAAGCTGTATATTGGAAATCGGAGGATGCATTAAAAGTTATTATGGAATACGCCATAAAAAACTTCGACATCGAAGCTCTAGCAAAAGTCCTGTTAGCGACAGATACATTTTATGATACACCAATTGATTTAGCTGAGAACGAAGAAACAAAAATAAATCTACGTCGTGGATATGATATGATTATTTCAACTCTACTTTCAGTATCAGGGAAGGTGAATGCATCCGATACTGCTTTTGTTTTATTTCCGGGCTACCTTAACGTTCTGGAAAACTTTGTTAAGAAACATATGGATCACGGTCAGAGAGAAGCTTTGGATTCAATTATCAAGTTAAAATCTATGTCGAATTACGACTATAAAGAAGTACAAACGTGTAAGAAAAAGCGAAGTACAAATGTGGAGCCCGGTCAGAGAGACTCTTTGGACTCAGTCAACAAAACACAAGTACAAAAGCAAACCAGCGGAATTAAACTTATAACACTTCCTAGGCCATCGCAATCGACTTCGGTCTCAGATGATGAGGCGATGGAAATTAGCGACGATGAAATATAAGAAATTAGTAGGTATTATATTATGTTTACAAACGTATATGAATATAACCTTGAACTGGATAATATGAAAAAATTCTCCAAAGTTTTAGGAATATCGCCACGGAATAAAAAAATCTCTTTTGTTCAATTTTTTTTAATTTAGAGAGTTTGAATATTTTCGCTTTTTAATATACCCCAAAAGAGGGGATGTTTATGTTGGTTAGGCAAAAATGTTTACTAAAAAAACACTGAGAAAGTAGTCGCCATGGAAGCTAAATCTAATAAGTTTTTTTTATCGTAGATAGATAAAGGAAACAAGTTTAAATTGGAATGCTCGGCTTGCCGTCAAAACTTATAATTGTTTTGGAGTGCATACGTTGTATACGCATACCGAAAAATGCGTCCATTTTCAAAGTAATTTGTGACACTATCTTGTGAGTTTAATTTAAATGTTATTTACTCAAACATGTCCTTAAATAAATTAAAGTTTCTTATCTGCAACACACTGTATTTTATTTAAACAATTAAAAGAAAATAATAATAAATTTGCATAAATAATATTTGGCGACATAATTTCGGAAAAAGCCGAACCGCTCCGAAATTATCAAAAGCTTTGGAGAGCGACAGTTGTAAGAATAGCGCCAAATAGTATTTACATTGTCACTATGGACACTTTCCAAACTAAACTTGTTTCTTTTATCTATGGTTTTTATATGTATTTTGGATTTTTTTGTTTTAGTTGTGATATTTTTAGAAGTTTATAGGCCCAATTTTTTTCCCGAATGAAAAATGTAATTAAATGTCGCCATATTTTTTTTTATTTTGGGATATGTTTTTTGCAAAATGTAGGTTTGTTCGTCTATTGCTAAACTTTCTACATTAGTGTACAGGGTGAGTCAACGATAAAGTCCATTATCTCATTTGTTTCTAAGTTTACAAAAAAAAATTAAATATAAAAGTTTTAGGAAAGGTTAAGATACACATTTTAAAATTATTATAGAGTGTACAAGGTGCTTAAAAAAGTGTGGCGGATATACAGGGTGTTTCAAAACAAATGCGAAAAACTTCAGGGGGCGATTCCTTGTTCAAAATAAAGGGTAGTTTGCTTTATAAACGTTGGGTCAAAAGTCAACCATTAGGGAGATATCACGGTACAAAGATGGCGGAAAAATAATGTTTTTATTTTTTATCTTGAAAACGAAAAGAGATAGACTAATAAAATTTTATGGAAGCATTACTGTTATGAAACACACTTTCTGGTAATTTTTTCACTTTTTTAAAATGAGTGGAAGGGGTTGAAATAAACTACCCCTATCATTCTTGTTAACGAAATTTAAAGAAAAATCTTATCAAACACATACAAAAAAATTAATTTGGATAGTTTAGCTTGTTTAGAAACTTTTTTATCTCTTGTATTTTTTTGATAAAACTCACCGTTTTGAAATTAAAAAATAAAATGTAAAGCATTACATGCCAGGACAAAAAACATTTTCTGATAAAGAATCTGGTGGGCTGCTGTAATTTTTTTAGGAAAAAATCTAGTCGGCCGCTGTTACTTTTTAGGATGTTCCTAATATTATTTTATTTGACATTACTCTACTGCAATACGTTATTATCTAGATGATTATTATTATCGTTATTATCATAGATTCTTAATCTAAAATGTTCTTCTTTGTCCTGACATGTAATGCTTTACATTTTATTTTTTAATTTCAAATCGGTGAGTTTTATCAAAAGAACACAAGAGATAAAAAAGTTTCTAAACAAACTAAACTATCCAAATTAAAGCATTTGCATGTGTTTGATAAGATTTTTCTTTAAATTTCGTTAACAAGAATGATAGGGGTAATTTATTTCAACCCCTTCCACTCATTTTAAAAAAGTAAAAAAAAATACCAGAAAGTGTGTTTTCATAACAGTAATGCTTCCATAAAATTTCATTAGTCTATCTCTTTTTGTTTTCAAGATAAAACATAAAAACATTATTTTTCCACCATTTTTGTACCGCGATATCTCCCTAATGGTTGACTTTTGACCCAACGTTTATAAAGCAAACTACCCTTTATTTAGAACAAGGAATCACCCCCTAAAGTTTTTCGCATTTGTTTTGAAACACCCTGTATATATGTAGTGTAATTGTATTAAAAATATGGGTAAAAATAGAAAAAAAAACTTTTTTTTGCCCATCTTAATAGCTTACCATACCTATTGGTATGGTCGGCTAAAAATTGGAAAAATTCCTTTACTTTGAATTACGGGAGCGGTGAAAACTACCTCCATCCCTACATAAATTTTAGTATAAATATTTCATATACTCAACCGACGACCGACTTTTTCTTCGTAAAATGGTCCTTCTAGTATTTACTACATTTTTTGTGTCTTGAAAAAAAAACGCCACCGCGATTTCAATTTAAATTTCCATTTTGACTATTATTGAGACATATTTCTTTTCTTTTAGATAACAATAGATCGTATGGTTCTGCCACTGGTTCTGCCTAAACTAATAAATATCTATCGTGCTGCATTCGTGAACTCTCAGATCTTGTATGGAGTCCAGTTCTGGAGTGTTCCGCCTTTTGCTGACAGTGTTTTCATATTTCAAAAACGCATATTAAAAAGGGCAAATGTTTAAAAATTAGTTAAAAATGTTTTTTTTATGAAACCTGTTTTGCAGTCGAGTTTATTAACGAGTTTATTAAATAGGCAACTTTTTTATACAGGGTGAGTTTCCTACGATGTTCTCTATGGGTATCTCGGAAACTACTGGAGATAGAGAGTCGGTTAAATGGGGAAAGAATTGCAGTTTTGTGTGGTCATAAATATGCGCCTTTCAGATTTTTGAAAAAGTTCATGGCTTACTAGATATTTCGAAAAAAACAAATTTCGGCTTTTTCAAAAATTGTCCGTAATTCCATTAAGCTATTTTAGACAAAACGTTTTCAGATAAAACTTGTAGATAATCACATCCTTAATGAGACTGTGTCCTCCGTTTTTTTCTAAAGCCTGTCATTTTTGACATATGACACAAACGTAGGTTTTTTTTAAATGGAAACCATAGTTGGCCATGGCTTCATAAAAAGCGCCATTTTTTAAGCTTTTTAGTGATATAAGCTATAATATCTTGTCTTCGAAAAATTACTGAGTTATAGCAAATTTTTATCATTTTTAAACAAATTCACTTAGTTAGCCATGGAAACAAGTTCAATCGCCGTTGCTCTCAGAAATGTGAAGCTGTCACATCCAAACTTTGTAAATGAAAATAAACAAAAATTGTAAATATGAATTTTTCAAATGAAGAAAGAATGAATAGAGTGGTTCCAACATGACTTTCATTATGACACACCACCCCCCACCCCCCATAACGAGAGAAATGTTAAAAATTATTTATATCATAATTATATAAACGCAGAGATAGGAAGAGGTGGACTAATTGCATGTGCCTCCCCGATCACCTGACCTATCCATTTTAGAATTTCTTATGTGGTATAGTTAACAATTACAAAAAAACTTATGAATTAAGAGAGGCACTAGAAATGGCGGTACAAGAAAAGTTTAATTAAGTCGACCGGTCCTTCTGTGAGAATAGGTAGTAATTCAGTTTTAAAAAGATGCAACTCAAAAACGATGGCGGATTTTTTGAACATTTTCTAAAATAACTTAAAGTATATGTAGTGATATTATTTTTAATTTAGATTAAGTTTTAGTTTGTGTAATGTAAATTGTAAAGAACCGTTTAGTAATATATTCTGACTTTTTATTAGTATTTTTTATTTTATAGAATAAGAATACCATGCAATCCAAGTGAAATTAGTCAAGAAAGATAAAAATTGGCTATAAGTAAATTTAACTTTTCTAACATGTCTTAAAAATCGTTCTCTAAAAAACGTAACATTCACCGGTCAACGTATCCTCGAAAATGTATGGTCAAGAAAAGTTGAACCAATAATCCTACACGCTTTTCTTCATTTGAAGAAAAGCGTGTATTCATATTAAGAATTTATGAGAGCAAAGACGATTAATCTTGTTTCCATGGCTAACTAAGTGAAATTATTTAAAAATGATAAGAATTTGCTATAACTCAGTAATTTTTCGAAGAAAAGGTATTATAGCTTATATCACTAAAAAGCTTAAAAAATGGCGCTTTTTATGAAGTCATGGCCAATTATGGTTTCCATTTAAAAAAAACTATGTTTGTGTCATATATAAAAAATTACGGGCTTTAGAAAAAAACGGAGGACACAGTCTCATTAAGGATGTGATTCTTTCCCCATTTAACCGACTCTCTCCAGTAGTTTCCGAGATACCCATAGAGAACATCGTAGGAAACTCACCCTGTATACAGGGTGGTCCGAACTGTATTCCGGAAACTTCGGCAGCATATTCTGCACACAAAAATAAGTAAAAAAGTTCATATAAATATATGTCCTAAAATACTTAGTTTCAGAGATACAGGGTGTAGAACTTTCATTTTTATTTCGATTTTTTCCATATAATTTCTAAAGTAACGTCAATATTTGGATGAAAATTGGTGTCTGGGAGTTTTTTGGCATGGGAAAATTGATTTTTATGACAATATGACTCCTATTTGTAGAGGGCGCCACCTACATGTGATTTAACTGTTTTGAAGAGTAATCATTTTTCGTCCGTACCTGTATAAAACTACTGAGTGAAAAAATATAAATTTCCGTGATTTTTTACGTAAAATATATCACTTGGTAAAAATCGCTACGAGCAATCGTTCTCAAGATATTTAGAATGGAAATAGCCAAACATGTCGTTATTGAAAAAAATTAAGTATGTTGAGCAGACAGTTATTTGACTGAAATGATAAATTCCGGAAACGAATTTCAAAAAACTTTTTCTTGTAAAAAATGATGATAAAACAGTTTCTGTTGAACTTTTACCACAAAAACATTTCAAATTTATGATTTCAGTCTAATAACTATGTAGTCAACATGTTTAATTTATGACAATGATGACAGATATTGATACATTTGATTCCAAATATCTCGAGAACCATTGCTCGTAACGATTTTTAGCAAGAGGCCTTTTTTACGTAAGAAATGTCGTAAATGTATATTTTTTTACTCAGTAGTTTTATACATGTACGCACGAAAAGTTATTACTTTTCAAACCAGTTAAAAATATTTAGGTGGCGCCCTCTATAAGTAGGAGTCATATTGACATCAAAATCAAATTTCTCATGTGAAAAAACTCCTAGGCACTAATTTTCATACAAATATTGACGTTGTTTCAGAAATTATACGGAAAAAATCGAGATAAAAATGAAACTTCTACACCCTGTATCTCCGAAACTAAGCATTTTAGGACATACATTTATACGAACTTTTTTACTTATTTTTATTCGCAGAATATGCCGCCGGAGTTTCGGAATACAGTTCGGACCACCCTGTATATAGTTAATACATGACATACATGTCTTCAGATTGTCTTTAAAAAAGGAAAATCTTTTATTATTAACTTTTTGAGATTTTTTTCTTGTTAAGACAAACCGGGGACATAGTGTATGCAAAGATTAAGACTACTCTTTGGTTGTATGCATACAGGGTGACAATTTGAAAACGAACAGTATTTAATATTACCTCTACCGATGATAGTATGAAAATTTGGCGAAACACGTCAATTTACATATCAAGGGGGACAATTTTTGATGCATTTGTTGACGTGTTACTTTCAACCCTTTGACCCCCAGGGCACCTACCTCTAAAATTTTAAATAGCAACCCCTATTTCTACATAAACTGCATTATTTTTTTGAGAATTTTATAAGGAACACAAAAATGGTAAAAGAAATAGGGGTTGCCATTTAAAATTTTAGGGGTACGTGCCCTGGGGGTCAAAGGGTTCAAAGTAACACGACAACAAATGCCTCAAAAATTGTCCCTCTTGATATGTAAATTGACGTATTTCGCCAAATTTTCATACTATCATCGGTAGAGGTAATATTAAATACTGTTCGTTTTCAAATTGTCACCCTCTATATTACGGTTAAAGTCCGATATCCGGTTAATGTTTGGGTTTGGTTTTGTTTTTGGTTGTTTTGTTTTATTAAATTGTACTGAAGCTGTGGTTGGTTCCTTGTGAAACATCGTTGAAATATTAGTATTTTAATAAAGCACGCTTTTAGATGTTTCAAAAAACTTTTAATAAGAGTAACTTTAACTCTACATATATGTTTCGGCTTGTTAGGCCTTTTTCAAGAGTTTTTTAAGAACTAATCGTCTAACTACACTGTAACTATATATATATTTGCTATTGGGGTGGGTTCAGAGAGTTTACAATAGGAGTAATAAAAAATGTGTTTAGAAATCCTTGTTGGTCGTTAACATTATTTTCGTTTTTAACAGATTTTAGTATGTCTAACTGTTCAATGTAATTTAAGCGTCTACCTTTTGTTTCTCTGTGTAGTAAGTTAATTGAGTTTTCATTAATTTTGTGATTATTTACTATACAATGAGTTGCAAGACCAGAACTATGCTGGAGATTATTAATATACTTTACATGTTCTTTAATCCTTATATCTACATTTCTACCTGTTTGGCCTATGTACACGGCATCACAATCATTGCAATCCACCCTATATACACCCGACTTATTTTTGACATTAGTTTTGTCTTTATTATTTAATAAAATTTGACCTAAATTTCTTTTATTTACGTTAATAGTTTTACATCCTATTTTATTGAGATTATTTGATATTTTGTTAGTTAAATTAGGAATGTAGTTTAAAAGTCGATAATTGTTATTGTCTTTAGAATTAGCGGAATAAAAATTTTTCATTAATATTTTCTTTTGTTTTTTCTTTAGCATATTATTAATAAGGGAACACTTATATCCATTGTTGATGGCGATTTGTTTAATATGTTTTGTTTTATGTTATTCTCGAGATTAACCGGGTAATGTCGACATTAACCGGATATTGAACCTTAACCGTAACATATACATAATATAAGTATATCGTTTGTAATCTTAATATGTTGTTGTTTTATTCTAAAATTGACAGATTCCATACACTTTTGTATCAATTCTAGAAATAAAGATTATGTTTTGACAGTGGGTTCACAGTTTAATTCGCCTCTACAACGGATATTTTTTTAAAATTTATTTCGTATTTTTTTTAAATAAATTATTTTATTTATCAATTTTTTTGCTTTCATTTCATTTTTCCCTATTTAGTTTTGTTTAATAATTTCCCTAATTTTATTGATATCTCCTGTTTATGTCCATCAATCTTCATTAGTATATTTATATTATATATCATATTGTCACTGGTCGGGTTTTATAGGTTGTTCTTGTCATATTTGTACTTGAAGATATGTTCTTCGGGAATGTTGCCTAGCTGCAGTAGATGTGGGAGGCAATTTTGATAAAAGTACCGTGCTGTTTGCTTGACCAACTAACTTTCAATAAGTTAGTTAACAAGCGTATCTTTGCTCACTAAGGCTCCCTTCAGATGATTTAAGTTTGTATAGTTTCAGTATAAACGTCTCTCCAGCTTTTTCAATTACTTCAGGTGTTGACTTTGCGTTGTTAAAAATATAGACGATACTATCAAGGTCTTTTTCTTTATTAAATATTTGTACGTGTTGTTGTTTTCCTTTTCCAAAAAATCCAGATGTTGTGTCACACCCGCTAATAGCGTGAATAAATAAAATTGATTTTTTTTTAAATTACGTATAATACTGGATGATTGCAAGACTCTCGAACTACACATTTGTTGTTTCACATTACCTATGACTT